AAGGTAACGTTATGATAGTTTATCTCCCTTTCCACAGGTTTCCTGCCGTTTTGTGTCTCTGCTGTAACCCCAGCAGCCCCAGTGCCTCTGCAGCCTCGGGGCTAGGGGTTGCTGGGTGCCGGCCCCCCTACGGGCTGTGTCTCTGCTCTTCTGGCCCCAGCTGCCCCAGCTTCACCTTGGGGCTTGGGGCTTCTGGGTGCCAGGCCCCCTTGAAGGCTTGTGTCTCTGCTCCTCCAACCCAGTCGCCGAGGCGGGGCTTGGGGCCGCTGGCTGCCAGCCCCCCTGAGGGCTGTGTCTCTGCTCCTCCATCCCGGTGGCAGCGCCAACCAAGCAGGCCCAGAGGCCCTCTACCAGTGGGTTGGGGCAGAACGCCTGTGTTGTCGCCATGGCGATGACGCAAGCATCCTGGCCCAGCCACCACCATCTTTGTCGCGGAGTGACGGCTAATTTGCATATTACTCTTTTATTAGATAGGATTGTGATCATGCATAGGAAATAGTTCAGGAGGACTTGCTCAATCTTGTCTTAAAAAACAAACTAATCTTGGGGGGTGGGTTAGAGGTAGAAGAGGGTATATTAAGGATAAGTGGTGATGGAAAAATAACAATAAGATAAAAAAGAAAAAAATAACCTCTACCAATGATACTGCTGTAATTAACCTAGTTATGCATAACAGGAAGTGAGCAAAGGGAAGGCCAGAAAGTATAGGCATGTTCCATGCAATACTTACTTGTCTGTCAATCACACCTGGGAACAGAGGTCACTGGCCAAAATGGGTGTGGCCACTGCAGTGGACTAAGACTAATTCCCCTGAACAAAGGAATTCACTTGCCACAGCTCACAAGTACTCAGTCCCCGTGAGTGCCACAGATCACAAGTACTCAGTCCATGTGAGTGCCCATGCTCACAAGTACTCAGTCCATTGGAGTGCCATTGCTCACAAGTACTCAGTCCCCGTGAGAGCCACAGATCACAAGTACTCAGTCCCCGTGAGTGCCACTGTTCACAAGTACTCAGTACACGTGAGTCCCACAGCTCCATGGTGACTGGGTGAGGGTCCGGCAGGTCCCCGCAGCCTCTGTTCAGGGGCAAGAAAGGACGCCTTGACCTGGGTACCACCCCATCCCGGACCCATCCAAATGCTACTCACCCTTCTTTTCTCCTCAAATAAGTACTCAGTCCCCGTGCGTGCTACAGATCATAAGTACTCAGTCCCCGTGAGTGCCACTGCTCACAAGTACTCAGTCCATGTGAGAGCCACAGATCACAAGTATTCAGTCCCCATGAGTGCCACAGCTCACAAGTACTCGGTGCCCATGAGTGCCACTGCTCACAAGTACTCAGTCCCCGTGAGTGCCACAGATCATGAATACTCAGTCCATGTGAGTGCCCATCCTCACAAGTACTCAGTCCATTGGAGTGCCATTGCTCACAAGTACTCAGTCCCCGTGAGTGCCACTGTTCACAAGTACTCAGTACACGTGAGTCCCACAGCTCCATGGTGACTGGGTGAGGGTCCGGCAGGTCCCCGCAGCCTCTGTTCAGGGGCAAGAAAGGACGCCTTGACCTGGGTACCACCCCATCCCGGACCCATCCAAATGCTACTCACCCTTCTTTTCTCCTCAAAAACACTTTACTTGCTGTTTAAATGCCTTTCATTTCCCTTTGGTGTGATGATAGTTTTTTCTTTAAAAACAAAAATAAAAGTGTATTAAGCCTTGGCTGGGTGGCTCAGTTTGTTGGCGCATAGTCCTGTGCACCAGGTTGCAGGTTCCATTCTCGGTCAGCGCACGTACAGCAGGCAACCGGTCAATCTCTCTCTCTCTCTCTCTCTCTCT